CCTAGCAATCTATTTCGGTATCAGACACTTCAGCAAAATTTTGACATCCACATATTGCAGTTTTGCAGCTGACATTAATCAGTTCTTGATTTCTCCATCTTTTCAGATAAGATTATGATTGTGATGACAGTTAAAATTTGTTTCGGAAACAATTTTTATTACTATATGTAACCACAGATTTTCTAAAAAATGCGCACTATTTGTCGTTGAGTGTAAGAGCTATAAAATGGGCATCGAATAACAACAGGTTATACAAGTCCAGTCATGTAAAATTTCCATGACTTGGAGTTTAATTTAGGCATTCTTGATTTCCCCTTCTCACTGATTACATAAATATATAATAAAAAGTTTAATCTTGACACACTATAAGATCTAATCGCACTTATATATATATATATATATATATATATATATATATATATATATATATATATATATATATATATATATATATATATATAGAGAGAGAGAGAGAGAGAGAGAGAGAGAGAGAGAGAGAGAGAGAGAGAGAGAGAGAGAGAGAACAAAAAATAGGCAGTATGTGTGGAAATATTCATCTGAATAGCAGACAAATGGACAGATATACATCCTACATGACATATGTAGTAATAGAATATATCTTTTCTTTTAAGGAGTCAATAACAACGGTGAATAGAATCTGGGTTAACTTTGTATGCTCTCGATTAACGGATATGACATACGTGCTATATCCATCGCGGCTCTTTAACAAGTAAGAACTGTACTCGTTGAATATTTGCTCAGATAATTTTACATTTCGTTTTATCCTGGAAGTTAGATTATGGGATCATTCGTGAAGTATACACAGTTTACATCTCTCTCTCTCTCTCTCTCTCTCTCTCTCTCTCTCTCTCTCTCTCTCTCTCTCTCTCTCTCTCTCTCTCTCTCTCTCTCTCTCTCTCTCTCTCTCTCTCTCTCTCTCTCTCTCTCTGACACAACACATAATTCTGAATTTCCGCAGCTGTGGCGTGGAATTAATCCTTTGCCTTCGAGAAAGGAATTGATTTTTAATGAGTTAAACTTACATCAAAAATGTTATTTTTTAATAATAATCCTAACATTGTTTGCGTATAATTCCTAAATGATATTCAATAATCTCTCTCTCTCTCTCTCTCTCTCTCTCTCTCTCTCTCTCTCTCTCTCTCTCTCTCTCTCTCTCTCTCTCTCTCTCTCTCTCTCTCTCTCGTGTGTGTGTGCACACAATTAAATCCATGGGCTGATTAATTTCATTTAGGTCATCTATATTATATATCTCCTGCTTTTTCTTCTTTATATGTTCTATAGAGCTGAATCCTCTAATGTTTTATCCACTGTATTTAATTTTAACTGGGCAATATGTAGTCCGTTATTTAACAGATTTTATGCAGTCTTTGCGCTAAGTTTCAAATCACAACGTTAACAATGCTTCTTTTACTGGACCTTCCAGAATTAGCTAGCTATCTAAATTATCTGGATTCCTCTAATCTATGTACTTTTGAAAGTTATAGATTTGTCTGTCACACTATTTATACTGGGACAATCCTTTGGCATCTTGGAGGGAGGAGGAAAAGAAGTAACACTGAGGACACTGTTACTTTGGTGTTAGTGTGCACAGAGGATGGCGTTAAAGCAGTGACTTACAGATTGTTATGTAAAAATTAATTTGTGGTTGCCGCTGCTCAAAACTTGTCGGATTTGTGTCTACTTCTGAATGAAACATGTATTGATCCCCTTCTTCGTTTTTCGAACAGATGCGATTTTTACAGAGAGCGGGAGGGAGGGAGGGAGGGAGGGATAGGCAAATTATTACTGACATCCTAATTTTCGATTCCTTTGTTTCATGTTCCATATATGGTCTTCTGCCATTAAAAATAATGTTCTGACAAACAAAGGTTAAGAGGTGATATTGTGAACCACATTATGTACATGTAGTGCAAAATGATTAACACTCAGTTTCTCAATGTATTATTCTTGCCTTGTTTGGCCTGTTGGCTTGGTCACTAGAAGTTTACTATTTTCTCATCACGTCTTTGCAGAATTGAATTCTTCATTGCATTCTTTTAGTGCGCACTCCCTTTAAATATTCTGATAGATTGATACGGCAATAATTTTGGATCATAACTCACCTTGACTTGCACATCCGGGTTTGTTTGAAAGTGAAAGTGACAGCTAGCGTTTATGCCATCATTTATTGAACAAGCGTTCATCCGGGTTCTAGATATATACCCTACAATCTTGTTTTTTATCTTTGTAGTGCAGGGAAGGGCAAACCTTTAAATGAGTTTTGAGATCTGTATTTTAACTCGTTCAAAGGCACGACCAGGACATGCCTAAGGTATACGTATCTACCTAGCTATATGATACACGTGTATAACTGTGTCCGTTATAAACCGCTAATTCGTGTTACTTGAAATTGTCTTCTGGTGCACGCACCCTCAAAATCGCCAATCTTCGTTACTTGCAAATATCTTCTTGCATACATATCCTGCGCAGAGCCATAGCGATCACGGGCCTTGGGATAAGAAACGTCCGGGCCTATCCTAGTTCTTGTTGAAACATTTTTTTTTCTTTATAAAAATAAAAAGTTTTGTTATGCCCGGGGCCCCGGAGATATATCTCTGGTTGCCCCTACCCTCTTGTCGGCCCTGCTAAATCACTAATTTATTTTACTTGCAGTTGTCTACTGGTATACGTATGCTGGCCAAATCGATAATTAGTATTACTTGTAAATGTGTTTTGGCATAACCCCCAAGATTGCAACGATGCAAGATACGGGAAAACTTGAGGACTCCTTATTAAAAACGCCTTATAAATATAAATGCAACTTATGGCAAAGACCGAAAACCCGTCGTAAGCTTTAGGTTACCTATTGCTACTAATTTTGTCCGCAGTGAAATGCAAGGTTTTTAACTGTGGCGATTTACACTCCGTCATTAACAGCTTGACCTTTTATACCGTAGGTAAGGTGTGATATAAAGAGTTTTTCTTTATTGTGATGCTCTTTACATTGAAGGAAAAAAAATAGTCTTTATGTGTCTAGTAAATGCCAAAATGCCAAAACGGATGACACCGCTACGGGATCCAAAGCTAGAGTAGCTCCCGTCAACACTGTCATGCATTTCTTGTTCAGCGCAGTAGATTTGCAAAGACGTAGTTTAGAACTGATGGATCGTTTGCATTTGGACATGTATTTGAATAACAAGCTAGTTATCAGCAGCATGGATACTTACCTTTACCAAGTGTACCTGGAAAATCTCTTGAAGTACGGAGAAGGGGATAAGAACAATCATCTGGATGCTTGTGTGGTATGAAAACCTGACAGGCAGGCGTGGACAAGTTTAACTGCACAGTCCTGAGTGCAGATGACGAGCCTCACAAAATGGGTTTTAGCGACCGTCGAAACAAAATCCTGCAAGGACGTCACCCCACCTGTTCCATTTCCCTTGTCGCTATATCACCATGAAAGGCAATAACGCTTAGCGGGGCGGAACATATCAAATTATATAACGCCTGGCGAAGAGGTACGTATCACTCTTATATAACGCCTGGCAGAGTTGGACATACCACTTTATATAGCGCCTGGCGGACATTATTGTCAATGTCCAGTACCGTGATGTCACTCTACCTGCTCCATTTCTATTGTCCTTATACAAACCCACTATTTTTGTACCTATATAGATCCAATATTCCCAATGTTCAATTTACATTGCCTCTAAACAACCTCAAGGACTTTGTCCATGTTAAATTCCCCTTGTCACTAAACAGCCCCAGGGAATTTTGTCCATGTTAAATTCCCCTTGTCACTAAACAGCCCCAGGGAATTTTGTCCATGTTAAATTCCCATTGAGGGTAAACAGCCCCAGCAATATTCTTCATGTCAAATTTCCCTTGAGACTAAACAGTTCCGGTAATATTCATCATGCTAAATCCCCTTTCTCCGTCTATAGTCCCACCCATGTTAAATTGCCCCATGTTAAATTCCCCTTTAGGCTAGAGTGTCCCACGACCTTTCTGACTGGGATTTCCATTGAGGTTAGGGCAGGGGTTTTCAAACTGTGGTCCGCGGACCCATTTGGGATCCGTCGCTTGTTGCCAAGGATCCGCAAGCAGGCCCCAAAAAGAATAAAAATAGTACATTTGCAAAGTTTTCATTATCATCAACAATAATAAAAAAACCGAGTACTTAGCTGTCTATTCTGCATTGACTAGTCTATTCTAGGGTTATTACTTACTGATGTCTAGTAGCAATACTTCCTTCCTTTGCTATTTTTAATAACTAAAAATAACACCGGAAGAAACTATTTACGGTAGTGCACTTTATCGTAATTGTGACGTAATGACAGACTTGCCATTGCTTATTAAAAAAGCAATTTTTAGAAATATAATATTAATATCTTTCAACGGTCTTCTTAACCATGGATAAATTTTTAAAGTGATATATTGACCAGAAAACAGAAGATTCTGATGACAAAGATAAATGTGAGAAAAAGAGAAAATTTCGCCGGTATGATCTAGAGAACATTTTATATAGTTTCATTGTATTCGGAACAAATGCTGATCAACATCTTTGTGTTATATGTAAGCAAGCTCTGTATAATGAGTCCATAAAACCCGCGAAATTAAAGCGCCATTTAAGGGCAATACATGCAGATGTTACGTCTTTGTTATAAGTGACGGTAATCGCTGACGTATTCTGATAGTTTGATTATCAGCTTGTGAATGAGCACATTCTAGAATAATGCATTGGCATTCTCAACATTGAATCAGCAAAATATTTCGCGCATCATTTTTTCTATTGCTGCTATTACTATTATTGCTATAGCTTCAGCAGCTTCTGTTTATGTTACCGTGACAACAAGTTTTGCTACTGCTTCTTAACAAACGCATGACAATTATCACGTTATTGATGATGATGGTGATGATTTCAGGGAAATGAAGAGAACTAAGATGGGTGATACTGACGAATGTATCAACTACACAGACGATCGTCTTCAACCTCAGGGGACTAGCTGTAGTTCATTTGGAGCAGCATTGGACTTGTAATCCAAGGGTCGCTGGTTCGATGCCAACGCAGGTCAGCTCAGCTCAGGTCAGCTGCCCCAGCATGCCATTGTTACAGGCACTTATCCCCCATGTAACCGGCAAGATAAATCTAAAAATGTGTTAAAAATGTAGTCCAAACCAACCATTTACTCTTGCTTTCTCTAGTGTTAATGATGGTAGTCGTAGTAAATGTATCAGTGATGTGGTGATGGTGAGATAATTGCTGTGAGATTTGAATTCTGGATTGTCGGTTTGTTTACGCTTCACAAAAGCTCGGAAGAGACATGCAAAATGCAAACGAATACAAATTAGACGACCTTCGCGTTATGTATATGTCGTCGAGATTCTTTAAGTGGCGGAGAAATTATTGCTCATCAATATCTTGATTCATGCAAAATGATAGTAGCACACATGGCTCCTCAATATATTACAACCAGCCCCACCCACCCCCAAAACAACTTTCATTTACCGAATTTATCTTTATCATGTCGCTTGGAAATTTGTCAAAGATCCAATTTTAACTGGGTTGTTATCCACGTATCAATGTGTAAAAAGATTATTGGTATGTTAGTTTGATTCGTATAAGCGAAATTAGGCTTAGGCGATCCAGTTTCCCCATATGTGGTTGATGGTCTACATAAGAGGGGTTATTAGACCATAGACTTACATTTCGTACAATTTGCCTTGATCCCGTTACTGCGATACCAAGAAAAGGTGGCTATAAATTTAACTTCAAGACTCATTAATTGATAAAGTAATGAAAAATGTTAGATGTACAGCATGTTCAGAACTAAATGTTTAGCAGAGAATATGAAACATTCCAGACTGTTTGCTTTGGGAATAATCGTGATTATTGTTGTTGTTGTTATTATTATTATTATTATTATTATTATTATTATTATTATTATTATTATTATTATTATTATTATTATTATTATTATTATTGTTTTTATTATTATTATTATTATTATTATCATCATCATCATCATCATCATCATCATCATCATCATTATTATTATTATTATTATTATTATTATTATTATTATTATTATTATTATTATTATTATTATTATTATTATTAAAATACAAGTAGAACTGTCATTGTCTTCCTCATAAAATGCTGTTTATGGCCAATACGTGCTTTTTATTTTGGAACTAATGTCAACATTATTCATGACCGAATAGAATGCATTATATTTGTAAATTGTTGAGAAAGACAGTTCTCGCTCAAAATTTCTCCAAATTGTAATCAAAATCCATATCTCCTTGCCACTAAATTAATTATTCATAAGTGTCAGTGGTATTTCATCTTCGCTACATACATGTTCTATATGACTGTATACTGCACAAAGGATCGCTTTGTGCCTGGAGCGATCCTTTGTGCTTGGGTAACACGGACTAAGTAAATGTTTTATTTCTTGTTCTAATAAAAGTACTAAATATAAATCCCATCTAAAAGTAACATCGGTTCTGTCTATAGTGTCATCTTGTGAATAAAACATGTAAGTGTAGATAGTTCCCGAATGACATCAGCAGCAGCCATATTTGTAGTATGCTGGCAGATTTACCCTTGACTTTATATGGTGTTTACAAGTTGCAATAAATTCATTGAATCTCAAGATACTGTTACAAAGCATACATAAACAGAACGCAAATCAAGCTTTCTGTTAGTATCTAAATTTGTAATTTTTAATTTGATTTTACTGCAGCATGCCTTGTTCAAAATGGCCACATTTTGTGTGTTTTATATACGAGAAACTGCCTTGTCCTCATCATCCACTAAAAATCCGCAGAATATCGTCTGGTAGCGACCTTTTCGGGAAACATCTATTATATTTGATATTATAATCTTACCCTTGTAATGGTCATTTATTTATCCTAATGTGTATATTTATGTTGTAAATTGATATGATACTAAATTATCCTGCAATGCCTTTTCTGCACAATCATTCTTATAATTCGCCAGTGAGAGAACAAAATAGGGATTTTGCTTATTATTTTCCTCCGGACGAGAATAGATGTATGTAACTAAAAATAACTGTTCGCGATAAATGCTTAGTTTTACGGATTAAGCAAGTGTTAAGAAGGTCATACAACAATTTGACAAATTAATTATAGTTTTATGTTGCATTTAAAATATAGGGATTGAAATAACCTTTATTGTTCACAATGACAAGTGTTATTCCAATGCAATGCATGATTACATGGTTCAATTCACTAATAAAATCTTTTGTGATAACAGCTTGGAAGTTAGTATATGAAAATATTTAAAGCAAGCAAGTTTTTCCATGACATAATAAGGACTTTACGAGGACTTTACACTTATCGCATTTATAATGGATTTTTTATTTTAAAAAAATATTTTTACGACTGACTTGAGATGAAAAATCATTTGCGTTAATTTGTGAAAGCTATAAGTGATTGAATAAAACAGTAATTTACTATTTCTTAAGTGTTTTTGTAACTCTATAATGACGACTGCATAGTTTCAGTTTAAAAATAGTTTCTTTAACTTCTTAAACCACTGTACATACACATGCTTGCAAATTTATTTTTTCAAAACCCATTTTCCTTTTTGTCTGAAACGTTTGCTAATTCTTTTTGTTCATTCACTCAACGGGATTCACTGGAACAATACTTCATTACCGTCAAACAAGACATGATCTCGAGTAGTGCTGATTAGTAGTCCAAATGGAGGTAGGAGTTTGAACGTCATTCATTGAATCAAATCAGTGAAGATTTTTCTTCATCTAAATCACAAAAAGTAGAACAGTAGTATACCTTGAAAAATTAATCCCCATCGCTAAGCGATCAGTCTTCATTAATCTGAACAATTAGAGAAAATAATTTACACGAATGCATCGTACTTGTCTAAATCCATCTTGATCAGGGTAGATTGCAACAGTTTCATCTGCATTTATGATACATTAGATTATTGCAATTAATGATGTTAATTTAATAATTTACTACTGCGCCAGAATACCATATATTTATTCTATTAACATTATTAGAGGATACATGGTAAGTTTTTAATTTTTTTTCTTTAAATTAGATATAGCAATTAAATGCAATTAGGTTTTGGTTTTGATTGTTGAGTCTTTTTTTTCCCCAGTTACTGGCAATTTGTGTACCGATTACAAAACTAGTAATGTATTTTGCAAATACCAAATCTGTATGTAACTTTTCCCCTTTGAACGGCAGCAGCTTCGATGATGGACGGAACATTTTGTGGCAATCACTTTCATGAGATAGAGCACTAACATGGCTTTTTTATGCATTTGGATCAGACGCATAGGGTCTGGTTCTAGAGCTAAACTTGTTCAAAAAACGTACAAAAAAGTAATATTTGGACGAACAGGTTTCCGAAAATCAACCCATCACCATTTGGGTCATGGACATTGGTGTGGACATCATTGCAAAAAATTATGAAGCTAGTCGGACAAAAAAGTGTGCCAATAGCATTTTCGAGTCGTCTGCAAAATAGATGGCGAGGAGACTGAAACACAAAAGGAAAAGTATGTTAAAACGGTTTTCCTTAATACAATTATCACAAAAATTACCAATCCCGAAAATATAGTCTTTTAAATGAACCATTTGGGTGTGTTTGAAACACACTGTCGATAGGCGTCATATACGGGCGTGTTACTGAGGAAAGTTTGATGAACCTCCTTGCTTCACGGACATGTTCTGGGCATAACATCATTCATAATGACATACATTTAATGAAAATACGTTTTGACGGAGAAATATGATAGTGCGTCATGCATACGTTTTCAAATGTTACTTTAGTACCTCAATATTATGAAAGCTATTAATTTCAAAGTCTACGAATGCGAAGACATGCCTTACGGACATACTGAAAGATTACGCAATGTCCGTCAGTGTTCACTCCATGGAATTCTACTTCAGGTTTCTTGTTCTGCTATTCTTGCAGGATGTGATCTTTGCCTATATGAGATAGTTTAACAAAATCATTTGACAAGAGTCCCTAGAAGGCACCGATGCTCTATTGCCAATAAAGAATTGTCAGAAATTCAATACAAGACCGTTTCTTCCTTTAAACTGCCGATTGTTGAAACCATCATTGATATTCTTGGCGATAACAATATTGTCAAATAAGCTGCTGAAGTGGACATATTGTATATCAGAATGACAGCATTTTAATTTAGGTGTCCAAAGAAGTCTTCTGATAGAAATCCAATGTTGATACAACTTTCATCTTTGAAGGAGCGACGATTACAAGGTTTTCAAGGTAGATGTCATGGTGGTCATATTCGATAAGAGACTCGCACCTTTTCAATGTATTGCCTATTTGATATCATAATAAGCCAGTTGGCGAAATAAAACGTCGATATGTGTAGCCATCCAGAAGAAGTAGTGATGACAAGATTTTCAAGATGGCGGCCATATTCGACATCAGGTCGGCCCATTTTCATTTAGAGCCAACTAGACATTATAAAAAGTCATTTAGTGAAAGCTCCATGTTAATATGACCAGCAATTCAGACGGAGTAGCGATAAAAAGTATTTTCAGTTGCTACCATACTAGATAAGAGATTAGCACCATTTTCATTTACGACAAACTAGACACAAGAAAGCTTCTGGTGAAACCCCCACTTTAGTACGACTTTCAATTCAGGAGGAGTAGCGATAACAATATTTTCAAGATGGACGTTGTGGAGGTCATATTGGATGTTCAAGCAGTACCATTTTCATTTAAGATCAACTAGACCATTGGGATGAGTGTGTTTAAAATTTCATGGCAATTCTCCAAGTAGATTATGATGAGCAGCGTTAGCAATCCTGTGCTAAAAGACTGATGGATGATAGACGACGGAATAGAGACGATCCTATAAGTTTTTCTGGTTAATGACCAGTAAAGCTAGCAAACCATTGTATCAGCAGATAAATACATATTTACGCCCAGCTTATGTAGCTGCAAGATACTAAACGTTTTCGGTAAATAATACTTGTAAATCATGCCGAAATATTGGCCTGGACCTCTTACAAAATATAAACATTAATTATTATTACCA